GGAATGTTATAATCACACTGACCCTGGGAATTTCATGGTGACAACCTCCTTCTGTGATGAAAAGTCCATGCCCCCTTACTCCCAGCCTCACAGAAACCTTCTTTATTCCCCTGTTCGGTAGATGATCGCTGCTGAGGGGGAAAAGGCTGCTTCTGAGTCCCTGCGGATGGCAGCTGAGATCCTATCCAGTGCCCCTGCGGCTGCTCAGCTCCGTTACCTCCATGCGCTGCACTCCCTTACTGCAGAGAAACCTGCTGCTTTCATCTTGCCCTTCCCTTTGGATGCCGCGAACCTGGTCTCTCCAGCTACCCACAGTCCTCCAGCAGCAAGCAGCAACCTCACAGATACCACAAAGCTCCCAGAAAGCCTGAAAGACAAGAAGGACTCGCCCATGCTGTAAAAGCTGTCCAAGAAATGGTTGTCATGCTGCCCCTGGTGAGTCCTGCTCAGAGAGGAGCAAGAAGGCTGGTCTACTGGCAGCCCACCAGCAGGTCCTGGTCTGGAGGCAGGAGGGAAGGGAGCACAGGCCTGTAATATAAAGTGGATTGTACATGGAAGAAGCCTCTTCTTGTTTTGGAAAGGGAAAACTATGGACCACAAGGAGTCAGGCTGGCATGTGTGTGATCAGGGGGTTGAGGGAAGAGGGGTGTTGTCCTTTCATGGGGCCAGATGCACCTTGACATCCTAAGGGCTGACCCCTGGGGTCTGATCCATCCAGCTCTGCCACCTCAGCAGGAAGGACACACTAGCCTCGATGTATTTAAATGCCTGTGTCCTCAGACGGACCAGCAGGCAGAGGTGGGAGCCTCACAGTCAGTGGGGGAACAGAAAGGGGCTCAGCATGCGGGCAGGTTGGTAGGTGCTACCAGCCTGGAAGGAATGAGCTGGGCGCCATGGTGTAGTCCTGGATGTAGGACTTCCAGCACCACCCATGCACACATACATACACACGCAGGCAACCAAGGTGTTTAGCCTTAGTTCTAAAATAGGAGAAAAAGGAGGAGGAGAAAGAGGAGGAAAAGACAGCCTTTATGGCTTGGTACTTCTCTGCAAGGCACATCAGCTGTGCAGAGGGAATGCAGGCTGTGCTGCTGCTTGCTTCCACTGGAGGGTGAGGCAGGACAAGATCTGAGCTTATGGGCATCTAAAAATTTTAGAGGCGATCGTTTAACCAGCTTCCACTGAGCAGAAAAGGGGAAATGCAGCACCACTGGAGAAGAACCGGCTGAAAGCCTCGAGAACAGTAATATACCTATGCCTGCTGCAGCTGCCTTGGTAACCTCCACACACAGGGAAGGGACAGAGAAAGTCCTCAAAACCCCTATAATCCTCAAAACTCCTATGTATCTTTCCTTCCAAAAGCAATTTACAATGACTGGGAACCTACAGATACTCCAACCCTTTCCCTTGGCAAAGTTATGTTGCACTGGCAAAGGAAATACCTCTGCACTGTTTCTCTCATCTCAGTGCCTTTTGGGTGGATGTCAGCTCTGCTCGTGGCCTTTCACGTGTCCTGCAGCATTCCCCCTTGGTTCAAAGCAGATCTCTCCTGCACAGCCATTCCCAGGTCCAACTTTCTGCTGCTGGTGACCTGTAGAGGCCAAGACAGAGGGCACTTTGTGGCCCTTGTCTTGGTTGCCCACACAGTGGTTGGCCATTATGTGTGTGCCTGGCAGGGGGTTACCCAGCCAGTTGCTCGCTCTGGCATTTTCACTAATTTTATTCAGTCCCTCTTTGCCTGCTGGTAACACTCATGCCCATTGGCACGTATCATGGCTAATACTTCTGTTAAATGCAGCTGTGTCATGAGGGTGGCCTGTATGTTCTGGTTAAATACTGCTGCAAAGGACAAGACTCTCACTTCTACTAACTGCCCCATATTCTGTATTTAATCAGCTCCTTCGCCTCCCTGGAGACCTCTTCTCACCACTCAGTGCTCCCATAATACTATCTGTACAAGTATTTGCTGCCTTTTCACACCAAGGCCACCCAGTGAACCAGCCCCCTTTTTCCACTGGGAAGTGGAAAAAAAAAATCCACCCATGAACTCCATGATCACACAAGGATCCAAGCTCCAGATGTAACCTCACATCCAAATCATTCTGTCACTGCAGCCCTCTCAGGAGAGGGTGGCAGAATGGCTGTAGCTTCTCCTCCTGTGTCTGTAATAGATCTCAGCAGTGATCCACCCATGGAAAACTAGTGCTAGGGAGTGGAACAGCTCTGTAATCTTCAACTGGTGAGCATGAGCTGTGCAGTTACTTCTCTAAGGCTGGTTCAGGTTATTTCTCATGCTTCTGGAATAGACCCCGGTTTCCCAGCCTAGAGAAAAGGCTGTAATACTACACAGAGAGAGCTGCAAGTGATCCTTGCTCTGAACATTTCACTGGCTGCATTTCTAACTCTCACACATGAGAGTGTAAAATGATCTGTGTAAAATGATCTGTCCAGACCAAGATTCCTTGGCCCATCAAGGACCAACGCCTCTATAGATCATGTCTCAAAGCAATAACACTTAGCTTGAGAAGTAAGACTGCCAAGAGACAGGCAGTACTATGTCAGGGAACACACATTACCCTATTTACACTCATATCTGCAGAAGCAAGGCATCATTTCTTCAATTAAGTAACTTTTCTGCAATTACAGAAAAGGGAAACGATAGCTAAGAGCACCCTCAATTCCAAAGAGCCCGCTTTGTTCCAGCAGGATCTTCTCTCTTTTACATATGCAGCACTGGCAGAAACTTGTCATTTTACCTTCTCAAAAAACCTTGCAGAAGGAAAACATCATTTAAAATGTACTTCAGTATTAGTGATAGGTGATGTTTCCAAAATAGTATTTGCTCTGGGGAAGTTGGCAAGCTGATGTCCTGACAGTTTTGCTGCCTGCTCTTCTGAGCTGACAGCAGATTAAACTGCAGAGTCACACCCAACGCAGGCTGCTCTGGTGGCTTTACAAAGCTTTATAACTACACAGGCTGCTCTGGGTTGGGAGCCGATGGAGGCAGAAGCCCCAGGTGACCACCTCACACTGTTAGGCTTTAGGGGCTACTGCAGATGGGGAGCCAGGGGACCAAACCCAGAAATCACAGGGAGACGGAGCATGCATTTTAAATGCCATCCTAGTGCACCGAGAGGGTGAACTGGCATCATCTGAAGTCTGATTTTCTAACCTTGGTTACAGGCAGCTCTCCTGGGGCAGCAATTTGAGAAAGGCCTTGACAAGCTTCAAGGCTGCTTCTTGCTTTCTGAAAGAAGGACAGAACCTTCAAAAGATGATGATTTAAAGAACAACAAAAATTTGTCCCTACGAGGTTTTACAATTTCTTCCTAATCAGTCAGCTGGATCATCTGAAGCCCAGAGGATAAAGGAGGTACCCGTTATCAGATGCACAACCAGGGCATGCTGGCACTGTGGAAAAAATTCCTTGATATAAAATATGTGCAGATGACTTCCTTGCATGATCTGACAGGGATGAGGCTGGGTGATACAGAGAAACAAGAAGATACTGATGAACACAAACAGCAGGTAGGTACAGAGTCAGGGGAGGAGGGCATGCAGGCAGGGGAGATGTGGGTAAGAGAAAGTCAAGGTGACAATGGTATTACAAGGAAGACAAGCTGTAGAGATATTAGAGCTGGAGGAGGAATTAGAGAACAAGCAAGATAAGCATGGAAGTGGAAGAGCCAGCTAGAAAAACATGATAAGTGCTGAGGTGGCACAGAGATGTTGGAGTAGTAGGTAAGGAGTAATGGCATGGGGGTGAAACACTACTATGAATGGGCACTAAGAAACTACTCAGGCATTGCTATTCTTTAATGTTTGCTTTTTTTTTGCTTTCTTGGACTGCCCAGAGGTAGAAACTTGACGCATTGCTATTCTTTAATGTTTGCTTTTTTTTGATTTCTTGGACTGCCCAGAGGTAGAAACTTGATGACTTGAGCAGGTCTTGACTTCTGAGACACTTTCTTGGAAACATTTATCTGAAAGAAAAACAGAACAACAAACCAAAGCCATTAAAAATACCATGGAGTAAAAACATGCCCAAGGTATTGCGTTCTTAAACAAATTAGCCTCTTCTCTTGCTTTGATGTCAAAGAGATAGGACACTCTGAAGGACTAAGGGAAGAAGTTTTAACTCTTGTCCTTTCTCCTTCTCCACATCTTTTATCTGAGCGGATCCAGTTGAGAAAGGACACAAGGAAAGGCTTTCAGCCACAACAAACGTGCAACCTAAGGAACTCACTGCCACACTAGATGGGCAAGATCAGTAGATCAGCAGTGTCCACATAACTCCTGAAGACAGCAAGAGTGTCCTGTGCTACAAAAGCAAAAGTTCTGTGGCCTCTGAGAGTGAAGGGACCTAGAAGAGTATTTCTTTTCTACTCCAGAATCAGTGATCCTAAACAGATCTTCTTGACCGTAACAGGGAGCACTCACTTAAAAGGACAGTGAAGTCAATTAGAGTGGCCTCTTAGTTATAGACCCTGTGTGTCTGGCAAAATCAAACAAAATTACTTTCTCTCAAAACCTGATGATGTTCAGCAGTTCTTTCTGCCCTGATCTAGAATCATGGTAAAAGCCTCCTTGCTTGGCCTCTGGCAAAGTCTAGACAAAGCCCTAGGATGTGCCCAGAAGGAGAGTCCTGCACTAAATGGGAGAGGAATGAGTCCTCAGAGATGTCTTCCCTCTGAGTCTGGGAGAGGGTTCAGAATATTGATTCTCCTGACCTTGTCCTTCTTCGTGTGTTGCTTCTGGGCTGACATTCCCCTCTTTCTCCAGCTCACTCTCTAGGTCCTTGATTCTCTTCAGAGCTTCTTCCAGCTTCTCTGCAAGACCTTCAGATCTCTCCTCTGCATTCTGAGCACGGATCTCTGTTTCTCTGCAACACAGAAGCAAAGATAATGCTGAAACCTGAAATCTAAGCAGCTGCTGGCAGGAAAAGAAAGATTTAGAAAGCTGAAGCATTCAGTAGGATTGACTGACTCTATAAAACTCATTTATAGTTTCAGAGAAGGGCATTGTTAAAAAAAATCTATAGGACTTCATAGCACATCTATGTAAACCCTGCAAATTGATTTATTTTAAAACTCAGTGTCTGCTAGCAAAGAGAGAGATGCTGATCTTCATTGCACAAGGATAAATACAGAGCACAGTTAATTCTGTTAGCAAGGCTAATGAGATGGGGTTACCCTGGATAATGCAAGCTCACAGACAAAACAAGAAGTAAGAGGGAACGTAATTCAGAGTGCCCAAGCCTGCCTAGGCATGGAAGAAGTCATTACCAGACACAAACCTTGACGTGGTTCTGCACAGAGCCACTTGGGTGCCCCTTCACTGTGCCCCCCAAACTTCGGTACAACATTGCATGGCTGTATACCTGCAGTATTAAGAAGTCTTGCAGAAAACCATCATGAGTACCTTTGCAATATACCTTGTGTACACTAAACAGACAAATCTGCACACAGATGAAGGATAGCTGACAGTAGCTCCTGTCCCAGAGTAAAATGGGTTATGTCTTCAGCTAACATAAGTCACAACCAATGGCCCAAAACAATCAGAAGGGAAGGAACCCAAAAATTAAGCCAAGAGATATGGGATGAAGCAGAACCCTATCAGAGAGCAGAACAGGGATGAAACCTCAAGGACAGGACCAGCACTCACAGGAGCTGCTCTTGCAGATGTTCCAGCATTGCCAAAGCTTCAAACTCTTTCTGTGAAAAGGGAGTTGAGGGCTTGGTGGCAGTCATCTCCCTCTGGTTGGGAAGAGCAAAACCTTCTATAAGTGAACCTGAAACCAACAATGCCACCTTTTATCTGTGGCATGAGCCTGGTTTGGTGCTGGTGTGTCAGTGCAGTGTCCCAACACAGACAGGAGCTCAGTATCAGCAAAGCATGTAAAACCAGAGGATAGTTCAGGCAAATTAGACTAAAAGACTTTTCTGACTCGGATGTGAAAGTCTCACAGGCTCACACTCATGGGTTGCTGGTGCATTCAGTGCATCACAGAGGTTGAAGATGGTTGTAGCCTGAGCAGAAGTGAAAAAAATAACAAAACAATGTTCTGAGAACAGAAAGATGCTGCTCCTCACAGGCTCCAACAGGTATAAGTCAGTTTTCCTCATCTGAAGGAGACAAACAAGGGTTTTCTGTAAAAGTAAGTGTTGAAAGGCTCCTACTCTAAGCTTTGGAACATAATTGTGATTTCCAGGGATTTGTTTCTGTAAAACAAATCACAGTCCATAAAGAAATGCTCCTGCATCTGCCACTGTCACTTTGAAGTAGCGTGTACCTCTAAAGCATGAAGGGCAGGGCACACTCAGCAATGCAGCACGTTTATGGAGTGGAACCATCCAGTGGCAGTTTGCTAAAGATCCACAATTCCTGTACCTCCAGGCTCCCCTCTGGATGGCTGACTGGCCAGGGAATGACTGCAAAAGGCAGGCCCTATGACTTCTGAAGAGCAACTTCACTGAAGAGCAGCTTCACCCAAGAGCATCATCTCAAATGCAAGTGGAGAAAACAGGGATTTAGGAGGTCAAATCAACCTTGATTTCTTGTTTCCCTACTGTTCTGGGATCTCCCTGTATCTCTGAACACTCTTCAACTCCTTCCATGTGCCCAACACCAAGCCACTTTCACCATCAAAACTTCTGCAGATAGTCCTGGTTCAGACTACACACATCCTCTGTTACTGGTCCCAGAATCCCAGGGCCATGACAATAGTGCACAGGTCAGGAGGGCAAATTGCAGCTGTGGTAAGGACCTCATGTCTCAAAGACACCTTTTGCTTCCCAGCTCAAAGGAAATGACACATTTTAGTACATCATATGCTAGAAACATCACACAGGCTTTTTTGTCAATGCTATAGCCATGGGCAAACTTGGCATTTGCAAGTAATCTTACGTATATGTTGTGCATGGGCTCTACAAATAATTTATTTCCTGATGATATTTACCAAAGACAGTGGAGCACCATGAGGCAGAATATGCCCCCACAAATCTGACTGTAAATTAATCACATATTTTGGTTTTACTTCAAATGTCAAGATTTCCAAAGCAGGTGGCAGTTCTGAGGGAGACAGGGATGTTCCAGAAGTGTTACTGAAGCCACCAACTGTTTCTACAGATATTGCCAAATCAAAGCAAATGAAAGGCAGTCGCCAATCATTTTAACACTTCAGCTGATCACATTTATCCCACTGCCAGTTTTCTGCACCAAGGTCCCCACAAAAAAGGCATTTGTCTTTTCTTGTACGTGTAATTTAATGTACAAGGCCAGCCCAAACAAAATTAACACCTCTGTCCTTACGGGAAATGTGGTTTCTTATCATGCTTGGCTTCATGCAGCTGGCTGGAGCCTATACAACTCATCGCTGCATCCACCTGGGCCAGCCATGCGGAAATCTTGTCAGAAAATGCCTGCAGCTCAGCTTTGTGCGTGCCAGAACCGTGCTTCGGCTTTTGCACCTTCATTAACCAATTTTCCATACTTCTCACCAGGGATGCCAAAAAACTTACTGTGCCTGCAGGGGAAGAAAATGCAAACCTTTAATTAAAGTTCTTTCACCCAACAAAACCAGAGCGAAACTCAAAGAGGGATGCCAGGAAGGATGAACAGCCTGTGTGGGAACTGGCTACACTTAGGACTAAGAATGAGCTGTTTAGTAAGCGCTGAATTCAAAGCAACCTGAACAAAAATGGGCTTGATTTGAAGCCCTGACTTTCCTTCTTGTCTAGGCAGATTTGGCTGCCTCATTGCATAAAGGCTTAATATAACTCTTTTTGAAAAGCTTTGCAGTTACAACTTGATTCTTCAAAGACACAAGTGATAGAGTATGCACAGATGTTCAAAATGCCTGGGCAAGGCAGTGAATTACTTGTTCTTTCACTTGCCCGGCACATGCTGATGGATATTCTCTGTTTGTTGGGGAATATGCTTGAAATATAACAATGCTTGCTCTTGATAGTCAATGTTTATGCTTTCTTTAAATCCTGGTGAGGTCTTGGCCTCCATGACGTCTTGTAGCAAAGATGGCACATTAAGCACATGGAAGTGATGACAGTTTTTTAAATATTTCAAGGATTTGGATGCATGGCTCGGTTTCCACACTGCACAGCTGTGGGGTAGAACTGGTTCACTTCTCCTCTGGGTTGGGACAAGTGCAATGAAGCAGTGTTGGGGTGTCCAGACTGGTAAGAGAGGGAGGAGGTAGCCTCTGCAAAGTGGAGCCTTTCAGATCACACTATGCGAGTCCCACAAGCAGGCAGTTTTTAAATGTCCAGAAGGCAAAAAAGAAGTAGTAGGAATGATATTATTTAAGTCTTCCTGTCATGCATCATCAGCTTAAGAAAAAATAAGAAAGGAAGTGCGTCCCAGAAGGGCATGGGATGAGAGAGAACAACCACTTCTGATCACTTGCATTTGGTTTGGCTGTATTGGAGCTTGCATAGTATTCTGGATCCTTATTAAATAGCAGGTTGCTTTGGGAAGGCTGTCTGTATCATTGCATTTATCTGATAAACTTAATGCAGTCCCCAGAGAAGACCTCACTGCAGCTCACTGGAGAGTTCACTCTAGTCCCAATTTCAGAGTCAAAAACATCTTATTTTCCCAAAGAAGGTACACTGGGAAGGCTTTAAGAAGTGATAAAGGAAGACTGAATAAAAGCAAATCCTTATGTCAAACCTTATCATTTTCATGTAAGTCCTCTCTTACATCTCCTGTCTAAAATTATCTCATATCTCATAGTTCTCTATGCATCTCTAATCCTTGCCATCAAATACCAAATCCTTTGTATTTCTGGCACATGCTGCTTGAGATCAGGTAATTGGAACTTAGAAGTTAATAAATACTTCAGGTAACTGAGTGCCATTGCCTTACAGGACAAAATTACCATGTTCTCAGTATTGTCTCTTACCTATTCTTTATAATCTCTCTCATTTTCACTGTTTCTTACCAAAGATGCAATGTAAAGAGAAGGAATACCTTGTCTTTTCTACTACAAGGCCATTACATTACAATGCAAAAATGAATCCAGGCCATTCAAAATACACTGCCCTGCATGGATCAAGAGAATGAATAGCCTTCCTGTGGTCCAGTTCCCAAAGCCTTTGTTAAAATAAGCTAAAATCCCTTTTTCTTGACTTCACTGGCTGAAGCGATTTTGGATCAGATGTCTGTGCTGTGCTGCCCAGCCCTTTGGTGGGATCACGACTAAATATCAAGGCTCCTGACAATCTGCTGTTAACTTTTTGCCATGCTGGAGTCTGGCCAATTGTGGCCCCATTTCTTCTCTCTCGCTTTCTGATGAGAACTACCAGAAATATTTATTTCCTTTAGCTGTCTCTTATGATAGACAGACCTATCATTCCATCGCAGCTCCCTTAGTAGGCTAAAATACAACATGCAGCATAAGATAATATAGGAAAAAGCATAGCCTAACCCTGAGTGAAAGGATTAATGACAGTATGAGAAGCAGCTTAGCCAACGTGAGTAGCAGTTACAGACAGCTCATATTCAGTTTAGCTTTAGTCTGCTAAAAGAAAGTAACATGATTAAAAAAGACCATCAGAGATGAAACAATCCTGGAATCAGAAAATAGTCAAGGTCTTGCAGAGGCAAAGGTTGAGAGGGTTAGTTGCAAATTGCCCAACGAATGTTTGTTACCTTACACAGGACATGATAACTATATCAGCAAAGAAAACATTTCTTTACATACTTTATTATCAGGATAATTCAATATCTAGATTAAGATAACATTGCACTAGTGATAATGCGATAAAAAGAAGTATTACAGTATCTGAGGCAGTGTTATCTGGTTAATGATCGTCAAAGTGATGTTACACTTTACATTTTAAACATCCATTCTTTGATCCACATAATCACAAAATGCCCACGCTCCCTCTGAACATAACACGACTTTCCTATGTCATATCTGCATTGCATCTTCTTTGCACTGTACCACATGTAAAATATCAGATGTTCTTTTTACGTGTGACTGCAAATCAGTGGAGTTCATCCCTTGAATTCTCTTTATTCCCAGCACATATCTGGGGGGTCAGACTTTAGCTTTGGAAAAAGCCAGTACGGATTATGGCAGCTGGTCCTTTACTACCCGCTACTTTCCTGGCATCCTCAAGGAAAGAGGTCATTCCTTACCATTATTCCCACTTATCCTTATGCTGTATTGCTGGCAGAGTTCAGCCGCCCATGGTTTATTTCTTCCAGGACAGCATGCTGTGGGGGCAATGCTCCAGCAAAGTCCCGGGGTCGATTCAGTATCATTTGTCCCAGCTCCGTCCAGTGCTCCTGCGGTCTGGCAATGTTCCTCAGATTTTCCGTCTTTCTTAGGTGCACCTCCCCTCCGTGCTGCTGCAGGTCTCCTTTTAGCATCTGAAAGAAAAGTAAGGAGTTTGCCGTGCCCCCTTGGATTCCCCCTTGGCTGCAACAGAAAGGTGATGGAAACCAGGTAAGAGAAGCGTGAGGAATCCATGAGCATAGCGATGCCGCAGTGAGTAGATAGCACAATAAAGTGGAAACTTACTGGTGACAATTCTGAGTGCTTCTATGGACTGATATAATTTATCAGTCGCCAGAGATGCTGGTCACACAATGCTTAAATGCACAACTAAGTTTAATGAACTAGCTGAAATATGGCACTGGTCAGTTTTAATTTTTCATTGTAACTTCTTAGCTCAGCTTAAGCTTCAGCACAAAAGATTTGAGCTGATGTGTGTCCGTTCGCATTTGTGATGGGCATAGATGCTCACTGGGGCTCAGCTAACACATGGTAATTTGCTGAGCAGATACCACCCAATAATATGTCCAGCTCCCCAAAATCTTACATTTATCAAATTCTTGATATCTTGTAGAATTTCATCCAGTAGCTTTTCATTCGTTGGAGAGGAGCTAAACAAGAGGGAAAGAAGGGATGAGAGCTGAGACAAAAAACTCCTTTAGTAGCCAGTGTAAAGCAAGAGTCAAGATATACTCTGTGCATATCAAGTTTGTGATATAAATTGTAATTTGAAAGAGAAGCAAAAACCACCACACCCTACTCAACCAGGGACTTCTGTTCTCTCACTCAGTGTAACACAAACACGGGATATCAGTTAAGAAAACACATTACTTTTAGCAAAGATGAAAATCAAATTCAAGCACATATTGAAAATTCAGACATTATTCGCTCTGTGATTGAAATCTGTAAAGTGATGCCTGTTGTTAATGCACACACTGTGTGCACTTCTGCATTTCGTACTTGCATTTATGCTTTTTTTTAACGTCACAATGAGCTAATAAAGAGCCTGCAAAATACAGTCACCTTAACACACAAAATGACTTTGTATTTGAAACCTCACGTCTCTCAGGGTCTTATTTTGTATCTGTATGTGAGAGAATTGAATGTTCTATTGAAGCATCAATGTGTGTGCTTTCAAGTGAAAATGAACCAAACTAACCAGAAGAATTCTGTTACAGCAATGGCAGCCAAAGGACACTCTGGTTCACAGCAGGAGGGTACAATCCTCACTCCACTGAATTCAACTACAAACTCACAGCATGTGCTTGGAGTTACTGTCAGGGACCTGATTTTCCAAATACATGTGTCAGGCAGAAAAACAGAGCAGTGAGAGATGTGGAAAGTCCGTCTGGGCCACTCACGAGTTGCTGCAGTGGAAGCACTGGAGCTGCTTGTTGAGGCTGCTGTGGACAATTTGCCTGGCTGAACTCCTCAGAATGCTCCATTTCTGCTCCAATGCGACCCAACCTCTCCCTGAACTGCTCAGTCACTTCCTCCAGAACAGCCAGGTCTTCTGTGTCCTGCAGGTCCCATCTGAGGACTCTTTCCTTTCACTGCATGGGAAAGCTATCTAAAAAGCAATCCTTTGAGTGTTTGGGTTGAGGATTTTCAACACTCTGGAGCAATTCAGTTGCTACAAATAGTGGCAATCTGAGCATGGGAACACTGGCTGTGAGGGAAGTACCAGCTATTTCATGTGTGAAAACTCCCACTGAATGTCAAACCAATAAGGTGCCCACACTGTCAAGTGTGGCAGCTGTCACCAAGCTCCAGGTTTCCTATCGGAGGCTCGTTAGTCCTGGTTGTTAACTAGGCAGGGAATCCAATTTCACTCCTAGCATCAGGCTCCATGCTAATTATATCACAACAGACTAGCTTTGCTGGGCAAGGACATTAGGAATGATCTGCAACAGCTAATGCTGCTCCCGAGAGGACGCTGCCATAAATCAAGAGAGGGATTAAGGGTGGTTGGCTAATGATGACCTGAGCTTCGAGAGCTGCTGTCCTCTCTCCAAGCAGTCCACGCTGACCTGCCGAATCAGCTCCTGGAAAACCATGTTGCAGGTGTTCTGCTCTGCCTTTATCAGCTCCAGCGTGTTGTGCAACTGGGAAAAGAGGCGAGAAAAATCACAGCCTTGCAGAGCCTCACCAGCCTACTCCTTTAACAACAGAGGTTAGCACAGGTCTCATTTCTTCTGAAGGAGGTTTCCCTTCAAGGACAAAACATTACTTTTTTTGGAAAGAGTCATCCTGCGCATATTTATGGATTCACTTTCAAATGTGTTATGCACTGTTCTGCCTACCCTCCTGGGTAGCTTCCAGCCATGGAAGCTTCTCTGCTAATTCCAGCTGGAGTTCCTGCTAAGGCAATGCTCTACATTTTTCAAAAATCCTTCCACATCGCCATGCAAGGACAACAGAAAATAAAGCAAATCAAGGTACAGATGTTCTCTGACATCTGCTTTCTAGGTGTGTGAGGGTTTTAGTGGCCCGTTTTGTAACACTGCAGCCTATCTCCCAACGAAGAGACGAGACAGCTGCTGCCCCCATTCCCCCATAGCAGCAATGCCAGCGGCATCCCTCTCTGGCATTTTTGCCAGCAATGTAACCTCCTACACCAAAAAGCTAACTGCTCTTCATGGATCAGATGAAGACAAACAGGAGCTCAGGAAAGGAATCCCCTGGTTATTACAGGACCTACAGACAGCTGGCTTGGGCAGAAACTGGCTGCTAGGAGGTACTTTAAGCACAGCAGGGATAAACACTAGGGAAAGCAAGATGTTATTTATCTGGGCACAAGCAAGTTATCCACCTGTGAAGGTCCTGTTACTCTGATCATCTTGTCTACTCCAGCTTTTTCCAGCATGCTGTCCATCACCTCCATCAGCTGGATGACCTCTAACCTCCCAGGAGGTTTCCTGACAGACCAGAAAGAGACACATCATTATTCTGCATAGTATATTATGATATTTTCCCAGGAAATGAAATGCAAACAGCTATTTCTTTTCCAGCAACAACTTCACATGGGGTAGCGTGTACATAGATGGGAACAGCCGCAGTTTCTTTTCATGGTCTTCGAGCAATGTTGTGCATCCCTGAAACAAACACAAATGTCAGAACGTGATTACAAAGCAATCCTTCCAGTGTTAGCTAAAGGGTCCTGCTCTCTCCTTCAGGCTCTCGGGCTGTGTACAAGCTGATGAAGATTGGAGAGGCAAGAAAAGTCTGCAAGGTTGCTCTGCAGTGGGAAAATCCAGAGCCTAACATGAGAACTGGGCCTCCTGCCGCTGTTTCCCCAGCTGCAGCTCCTTCTTCTTGCCACTAATGACAGAAATCTTGTAGGAACCTTTTGTTTTTAAGTTGTCTCATAGTACTTGGATAGGAAGTGACCAATGGGTTTAAAAGTTACTGGTGGGACCAGAAAACTACCACGTATCCACATCACACCCACCCAGAGACTGATCACAGGAGTCCATAAAAATAAGAAGATAGTGCTCTGTTACATCGCGTTGGGAAACATCTTGTGAGGATTTCACTCCTGATCTTAGTGTTTTAATCCTTGAACAATGAGAAATTTAATTTTCCTTTAAATTTAGTAAGTTGTCCAGAGAGACCAAGGGGAGTCTCAGCAACATGTTTTGGACAAGGCTTGGCAAACTCAATTCAAAACTCAGAGCCTGGAAAATATGAAAATCTCAAGCAAACAAAAAGCCAGAGTGGTCAGATTTAAGATGCTAACAGGCCTATAGAAATAAAGCAAGAATAAGAACTACCCAGAGCCCACGCAGCTTTGCAGCAGAAAGTGATTCTAAAAGAAAAACAGAGAAACTCAACAAAATCTACACAAACAAAACCACAACAGGCCTGTAAAAAGAAACAAACAGAAACCCAACCGAACTAAAGGGCAAAAACCCAGCAGTAACTTCCAAAAGTTGCCTCCAGGGACTGAACCATACTTCAGCTTCTGTATTCACTTCCAACTACCAGAATTCCCCCGAGAAGCAGTACGTGTGTGCAGCAAACTCACTGTGAGCCTCCTCAAAGCAGCAGGGACAGAGGAGGGGGACGCAGCTCTGCAGGCTCTCCTATTGCCTGGCCATTAGCATGGGATTTGTGTAACCTCCCTTTTATAGTCTCCTCTTCCCAATGGCAGGACGTGTACTTATTTGGGCAGCATCCTCAGCCTCTAATCACTTTATCCCCCTGCTCTGAACAGATGAGGACAAACCCCTATAACGCAGAAAGCACTCACTCATCGAAGCACTTCAATGGCAAAACTCCCCCGTTCTTCACAATGTGAAATTCCTTGGAAACCAGACTATCTGCCAGGGTTGCTCGCTGGGGATGGAAAAGAAAAAGAGAGCAGGAAACATCGGCATAATATACATGAACACACTGCTGGTTCCTTCCCAAAGAGGACACAGGTTTGGCAGCCGGGAGGGGGAAGCTCACGTAGCAGTTTTTCATGCTGCTTTTCCTTTTCTTGCTCCACGCATCCAGAGCCCACAGAAACAATTTATGGCCAAAAGCAGATTGAAATTACTAACATGAAACTGCAGCAGGGAAGCCAGTGGGGTGGAGCTGCAGGGAGGCCTGATGAGATTTAGAACCAGGGTAATGTCTATGAGGACGCCCCTTCTCCCAGCCAGTGATACACACAGAGGAACCCCTCTGCAGCACTCACAGGAGGATGTGGGACTGTACCACGGCTCCCTCTCTGGTCCTGACCACTCTCAGCAAAAGAGCTTCTGCCAGGCACAGCCATTGCTTTCCCAGCTTCTTGGCCAGCTGCAATGTCACAGAGGTAAGAGACATCCCTGAAACAGAGGGCAGGAGCACTGACCCCCCCACCCTTCCCTCACTGCCAGCCCAAGCCACGCACAGGTTTGTTCTGCCCAGCTTGAGGCCAGGCTCACAGCCAGGATCCCCTCCCCTTGGCCAAAAAATACAATTTTTAGAGATTATGTTTGTTAGGCAGATTAACCTTGCATTGTCTATCTGTTTTTCACATCAGCTGCCAATGCCCTATAGCACACATACCAAATGTCCAATATCAAGCTAAACATTTTCCACTTCCTCGTGCCGTTAAGCATTGCTTATTTACAAAGAAGCATTAAGCTATTCCTTGCTAAGTCCATTAAAGCCAGAAGAGCTTCTTTTCTTAATTGTGGATCACGGAGCATCCCTGCAATCCTGGCATCCTTTGGAAGGATGGTTCCAAGAACTGCTCATCACAGAATCCCAGACCGTTAGGGATTGGAAGGGACCTCCAAAGCTCATCCAGTCCAATCCCCCTGCCGGAGCAGGAACACCCAGATGAGGTTACACAGGAAGGCGTCCAGGCGGGTTTTGAATGTCTGCAGAGAAGGAGACTCCACAACCTCTCTGGGCAGCCTGGGCCAGGGCTCTGTCACCCTCACTGAGAAGAAGTTTCTTCTCCAATTGAAGTGGAACCTCCTGTGTTCCAGTTTGTGTCCGTTACCCCTTGTCCTATCATTGTTTGTCACCGAGAAGAGCCTGGCTCCATCCTCGTGACACTCACCCTTTAAATATTTCTAAACATGAATGAGGTCTCCCCTCAGTCTCCTCTTCTGCAAACTAAAGGGACCCAGGTCCCTCAGCCACTCCTCAGAAGGGAGATGCTCCACCCCCTTGATCATCTTTGTAGCCCTACGCTGGACTCTCTCCAGCAGTTCCCTGTCCTTAAGTTCCCTGTCCTCATTTAGCAACAATTTCAGTTATTATTCACAAAACATCTTTCCCTCAAGTCTCTCCAGCCTGCACTCGGACAGGACAGCTGGTTCATTCATCCACCTGCATTAGGTAGCACAGCCACCTACCATTAAAAAATAAAATTAAAAATAAAACCAAGGGGGAGACGTAGCTCTGTGTTGCCAGCTCTAATGTCTTTCCATCACCCTGGGCTCCTTATCCCTTCTTTGCTTACCTTCCAGCACCCGTCAAACTGACAGAGTGGTCTGCCAAGTGTCTGAACCTGCTCCGACGATTAGGATAATGCCAAAGCCGATCTCGGATTTGCAGGCAGCTCTGCAGACAAGGCACATGTGGCTGTCACTTCTTACAGAGAAAGGTATCAAGGAGCGGGAGAGGTCAGGGTGGCTGTCTAAGTGAGCTTCACATCGTTATTTGTGTCTTGGGGCTGAAGAAACTGCTGTGCACAAAGCAGCCTTGGCAAGGGCTTCACAGCAGCACCAAGAGGCAAGAACGTCTTCCAGGGACTGGAAGGCAGCACTGCATCAAATGGCACAGTCAGAAAGTGATGCAATATCAGATAAATTTATCTTTTGAAGTCAGCAAACTTTCCTTTTGCCCAGGGAATGAACGTGTGCCCCCAAAGAAGAGCCAATTTTGGACAGAAAAAGGCAGGAGGTGGAAATACACCCACCCGGAAGCCCATTGGGGTTTTGGTGGTTTGCAGGGACTGTGAGTGCTCCGGGCTGTAGAGAGAACTGGTGGTACAGGTCAGGCTTCGGAAAACCTCTTCGGAAAACAAAACTATGCTCCAGGGAGGAAGAAACAGGTTTGATATGGTCAAGCACCCTTGAGGTACTCCTCAGCTTGGGGATCTCTGGAAAATAGCATGTCAGAACCATACTGACAACATTTATTCCACTGGTAAAAGAGGAGGTGAAACTTGCCCTTGTGGCCAAGGCCAACGGCATCCTGGGGTGTATCAGGAGGGGGGTGGTTGTAGGGCAGAGAGGTTCTCCTCCCCCTCTACTCTGCCCTGGTGAGACCACATCTGGAAAATTGTGTCCAGTTCTGGGCCCCTCAGTTCAAGAAGGACAGGAACTGCTGGAGAGAGTCCAGCGTAGGGCTACAAAGATGATCAAGGGAGTGGAGCATCTCCCTTCTGAGGAGCGGCTGAGGGAGCTGGGGCTCTTTAGTTTGCAGAAGAGGAGACTGAGGGGAGACCTCATTCATGTTTAGAAATATTTAAAGGGTGAGTGTCACGAGGATGGAGCCAGGCTCTTCTCGGTGACAAACAATGATAGGACAAGGGGTGACGGACACAAACTGGAACACAGGAGGTTCCACTGAAATTGGAGAAGAAACTTCTTCTCAGTGAGGGTGACAGAGCCCTGGCCCAGGCTGCCCAGAGAGGTTGTGGAGTCTCCTTCTCTGCAGACATTCAAAACCCGCCTGGACGCCTTCCTGTGTAACCTCATCTGGGTGTTCCTGCTCCGGCAGGGGGATTGGACTGGATGAGCTTTTGAGGTCCCTTCCAATCCCTAACGTTCTGGGATTCTGTGTAATGATAAAATACAGGGCTGAGAAAACCAGTGACAAGGTATTTGCTCCCTTGCCCCAAAGCGGGATCAAGTCTATGTAAAACATAGGCAGCCAATCCCATTTTTAGCAGTTGTTAAAACACCTACCCTTCACTCATGGGAGGTAAAGCACAACTGCACCAAGCTGTCAGGTAAACAGCTACCAAGGGATGCTGTAACCAACTCAAGTTTGCATGTTTCTGCAGAGCCATTTCCCTCCTCATGCACTGCCAACAGTTGGCTTTCTGCACAGATACGAATGCCCTAAAATATCAACAATTACCTAAACAAAGGCAAAACTCAATGCAGAGGAGCATCCTGCTGCTGAAGTGGAGCGGGAAGGTCAGACACAGATTTTCAGCACCCGCAGCCTCCAGCCCAGCCCCACCTGAGCGGTCCTTGCTGACCGAGCCTGCCCGTGAGGCTCCACTCAGGTTCCCTCCATCAGCGTTTGGTCCAGGAGCTGATGCTCCAGTTGCAGCCACGGTGTTTATTTTATTTCAACGCTTAGCCAAGGAAATTTGCAGCAACAGATCATCTAGAAACAGGATTAAACCCACATTTGTACATCACAGGGTTTGGTTTTTTTTGTTTATTGTGAAGAAAGCCCCTTATGCCCAGCACTGTGCACCAGTTAGGAAGAAGCCCCCGATGCTTTGCTACACCCTCCATAGGGTGCAATGACAGCAGCTGCTTCTTTTATACATTGAACTGTGCCAGAGATCTCATTCTATCTGAATTTCTTCCATTATTAAGCTTACCACTTTTACTTCTTAGCAATATCTTACATGTAATTTTCATGAATTCTCATCTGAAGCCTTTTTTCCCCCCACTAGCCTTGCCAATATAAATTGTTCTTTAAAAATGCTCTTGGTACTAAACTTTGACATCTTTATCAGCTGTATCCTCGTGTGTTGTATTTTCCAATTAGGTTAATTGCATTTCTTTGACTTCAGATACACGTTTGTGGGTGTACATATAATCTAGGAGCCTTCTTGGCAGACAGTTTCTTGTTTTCCTGTGTAAAAACTTGCTAAAAACTTCTGACAGAATCAACCCTCTTCTCCCTCTGGCAGCACACAGTATTCCCACCAGAAAGGATGGGAAGATTAATGGCACTGTTCTGTAGCAGCTACACTTCAAGGACGCCAAGAAGAGCTGACTTTAGAGCACGTGGTACACAGCTGGAAAATAGCACATTTAGTTCTTGGCACACAGACCCTTTTCAGCCTCAAAATAAAGGTAGAAATCACCAACATGATTCACATTTGGCAGTTTGCTCCCACATCAAATGCATTAAGTCGGGAGAGGTTAGAAACTCCGGTCTGTTTCTATCTACTCTTTCTCCACACTCCTCTCCCAAGGACGTCCTTTCCTCTTGCAGAGACGCGATGGCTGATACGCAGTCTGTAAACCCTCAGCAGTCCTTTGCAGCTAGTGTTTAGCCTTGACATTTCCTGCTGCTTTTTAGGACCTGAAGAAGGGCTTTGTGTACAAGTTTCTACCCAAATGCTCAGCCAGGAGATCTCTTCCCTACCCTCCAGGTAAGAGCCTGGTACCTCCAGGCTTGGGTTTGCCACAGCATATGGGCACAGGCAGCTTCAGGTCACCCCACACCCACCGGCTTGCAGCCCCCAGCCCCCCAGAGCAGCAGAGTGGCCTCCATACCTGCCAAGCTGCTCCCTGGCTCCATGACCACGGGAACACAGGACTTCCCCACATGCCCCACAAGGTTCTGACCGACATCTTCTCCCCGCAGCAACCACCTTCCCAGGAGAGCAACCCCACATATCTCACCCTACCCTCAGCCCCCTTCCCCCATGCACACACCACCACCCCCAATCCCCTCAAAGAAGAAACAGACCATGGTGATTTTTTTTTTCCTCCCCAATAGCAAAATATATTTCGACTGCTGTAATACAGTAGATTATAAACAGCTCTTCTGCATGACAGAACAAGGTACAGGTTGCATACACAGACCCACTGGTGCCAGGGCTGGGGCCTGGCCATCCCCTGCTCGTGCTCCTCCCCGCTGCCACTGCAGGTGAAGGGGCAGCCACAGCTTCCCAGCCCTGGCAGCAAGCACAGGGAGAAGAGACGAGGCTGAACTGGTTGGCTCGGAGGTGCTGCAGGGAGCTGGCTCGTAACTCTGATGCCGCAGAGCACGTGGGCTTGCTCACACGCTGGACTGCCATCCTTCCAGCCCATCTACATTCAAGAGGCGGGAGCTCAAACAGTTCAGATTTCCTTTAGTGGGCGGACTGATTCACATAATCCGTGCATCTCATTTCATCTGAGATACTCGGGGATCCCTCCTGCTTACCAGCACAGCACACAGCACATGCCTTACTCAGACAGCTGTCACGGGATAGCACCCAGACAGCAGGGCAGATGCAGGACTGCTTCACCTCTGAAGGCTGGAGGCTAAACAGCCCAACAGAAAGGACACGCTAGGCATGAAGACTACACTGGTTTCAGTCTTTCTGAGAACAAAACTTATCTGCACAAACCCCAAGATGCATTTCACCATATTAACACTGATTTTTGCGATGTTGCTGAGCAAGGAGCTGCAGCTGTACTGGCTGAAGGTTGCCTGCCTCGAAACTGAGGGGGTAACCATGGAAGCAAGCACAACTGTGTTGGAAAGAGCCACAGAAAACAGTATCTGCTATTATTAAGGACTTGTAAAGGCAGGTGGAGAACCTCAGCATCCTCATTCCTGACCAGGACACCATACTGCTAGCTCTGGCACTCACAGCCTAAGAAAACTCAAACAAACATGGTAGAATTGACTCTAATCAAACAAGCAATGAGCAGGAGACTTAGTAATTCCCCTCCACTACTCTTGAGAATGTAAATAAACTCATATTCAAAAGCAATTAAAAAAAAAACAACAAAAAACAAACATGAAATTGAAAGCAATCCCAATCGTTCATGCCCTGACAGCACGGTTGCCAGATGCCTTGATCTACAAGGCTAAAACTCTCAACCTGTCAAAAACTAAGACCAGTTCCAACAGCTGAGCATCCCTTTCTGGTTGCCTTTTGCCTGTCAGATGCCCAAGCCTTCAGTCTTCAAACACCAAGAATGTCAACACAGTAAATGCTGATATCCTTTATTAGGGATATGACAGTGCCAGCTGTGAGGAAAACACCAAACCTCAGCACAAAGGGCAGTGATCTGATTTCCTTTTGAGAACACTGGGACAGCAGCATGACCTGACACAGGCATCAAGACAACGAATCAAGTCCCCAGTCCATCACACCCAGTTTGAGTGCAATTACAGCTGCACATGAGTGTTTTGAGCACCACAACTAAGTAGTACTGGACTGAATTTCATCATTTCATCCTATATTAAGGAGGTGACAAAGCTGTTTGGCTCAAGGGTAGGGGTTTTTTGTTTGGCTTTTGTTTTTTAAGGGAAGCTTAGTTGCTCCAGCACTTCTGTCCCTTTTTCCCCCCACAAAAGGTACAGTGAAAGATTTAGGATTAATCAGACTCCATGATGAGAAAGCAATCCATTTAATTCTCAAGATTTTATGTATTAATACTGCCAGGTTTCTGTATATAGGTGAACTCTTTCCTCTGAAATCAACCCAGCCATTTCAATAAACAAGTTCACATAGGAGACATTTTCAGAGGAGAGCCACATATGCAAACACTGTATTTAGCAAACGTGACCTGACACAACATCCTTTCTGAAGGGCACGATTCCTCCTTACAGGAAACCGAAAACCTGGAAGAGTTTCAGTATTACGTAGCTTTCATGAAATTACTTTTGACTCAGGTTAGTAAAAATAGAAGACTAAAGACAGTCTAAAGTGGACTGGGAAACAAGTCCATCAACAGTCCCAATGCTGCTGGTATCCAATACTTAGGCTGCAGGTCAGTATTGGAAAGTTATTGGAAAGTGCCAGTAAAGTGCATTTGAGTAATTTTAAAATGCCTGCAACCAAAGTTAAGGTATCTTCATCAGGTTACCCTCCCTCTCCAATAATGGGAGCTGCAGTTCCCGTAAATCAGGAGAAATACAGACCCATATACCATGTAAGTTCCCTTTTGTCCTTAGCATCTGACAGAACAAGGAACTGATGGGGCTTTGCCTAATTTATAGATACTGAAACATCAGATTCACATAATGCTTCTGCCTTTAGCAGTGTGTATGAGAGCACACCCAACCTCTTCAGAAAGAGGAGGGCAATACCTAGGAAACCAATCTTCACCTGAAGTCCCCACTGATGTAAGAGCAGACACAGGCAGATGAAAAGCAGCTCTGACTCCAGCCACTGGGTCAACCCTCACTTCCCACCAACAGCATTAGATGCTGCTACAATGTGCGGTGGCGAGAAGCACCAAGATGTGCTGGCACATTGAACTGGATGCAGCCATTTCAGACGAGAACATGCACTGTACCTGGTAAAGATGATTGCATATTCTTACAGTTGGGTCATAGCATTTCACATCTTTCACACTAAAGAAAGCCTTAACAACCTGTATACCTTCAAGCATCTGCCAAATTAAAGCAAAAACTCTTTTACAAGTTAACTGTGTTAAAAGAATTGATTACCTGGTACAAAAGAAAGGAAAAGCTAGAAGAAAAATTATTCCTCAAGTGGCAAAGGCCTTCAGAGAACAAAAATGCTGTAAGTCAGCTGGGAACTCAATGAATACAGAGAGAAGAAATTTTCAGTGTAAAAAGTCATACAAAGACTGCACACGCTGAGCCCTGCTTCTGAACCCGATACTCCAATGCAGCCCAAGTAAACTGACAATCCCCCTTCCTCTGCCCATTTCAAATCTGTAAGCAGCCAACATACACAGAATACAGTTCAAAGCCATCCAGGAATACTTTGGCTATTTTCAGAGCAAGGAAGCAAATATGCCGTTGCTCTACCACGTGTCCGCATCACAGCGGTGGACAGGATCACAAAGAATAGAAGTTTTGTAGACATCCTGTTACCAGAAGGGAGAAAAAACTTGCAAAGGAATGGCTAAGGGAGATGGACGGATGCCAACAGTGAGCTACTCGTAAATCTGACTAGATCTCTCTTGTCCACAAAAGCAGCAACTTGGGGGGATCCCTGGATGAGTTGGATTCCAGTAGATTCCACATTCAGCTCAATGTTTTACTGGCATGGAAATGGCTCAAAGTGGGACAGCACACAGTCAATGCTGCCTACGAAGCATGTTGCAATCCAGGTCAACTGGTTTGCTTCAGTAATGCTTAAAAAATTTACAGTTTCTCCCCAATAATCAGGAGGCACAACTTCCCTTAGTTTTTCCCTTAGAAAAAGTCCATAGTGAGTTAGGTCATTGGTCCAAATACTTGGAGGACAACTCTTATCTTCTGTGATAATGACATGGCCAGAGCATACCATTTTTACATCTTCGTATGACACGACCATGAACGTGGTTTTAAGTGGTCCAGGAATGTGAGCTGCAAAACACAGAGAGGCAGTAAGTTAGTCACAGGCTACCAGCATCAGCTGAAGGTCTGCTGAAGTTGAATTGCATTTTCACATCCTGCAACCTTCACTAAACTGTGTGTAGAAGTGTAGCTACAGCCATAAGCTGTTTGCCAGCCACCCACCTTACCCTCAGTTCTGATACATCAGGAAAACACTGTCTAGTAATGTACTGTATCAAGAAGCCAATCATTTATGATGGGAAACTCTTAACTGAGGAGAATCAAACTTAAAACAGAATTTGCCTGAGGATACCTTTGGTTAAAGCTGAAATCAGTTAGCACAGCAAGAAGTTTTATGTAGAACAGAATCTGATACCAAGAAAATGAGTTATAAGTCAGAGAAAGTAACACCAACAAAACCCCAAACCAACGTTTATAGGCAAACAACTCTCACTGCCACCCACTTCAGCCTGGGAGAGGCACAATAAGCTCAGTTTTTGTGGGCCTCCTTGAAAAGTTTCTCCTGGCCTCATTGGCCAAGTGCTACAGTTCCATTCGCACAGCCTGAATGGCTTAGCCTGCTCTCAAGTAGTGGCTTATGTCCTCAGAACTGTCGGAAAAACACTCTGAGTTTCAAAGTGAAATACTATCAACACAGAAAGAGCACTACTGAAAGCATTTCTGGAAAAGCTTGCCTAGATTCTCTACAGTTTCTAGACTAAATAATTCCTAATGAATTGATATAGCATGCTGCCAGAAAGGCTCGTGCCATTTAACTTCTGTCCTGTCCACACAGAGAGCGAGGACAAGCAGCTCGTGTGGTCAGTTATCCCAAAGGAAAGGTCAGTCACTCACATTTTCCATAGGGCAGTACTGCCGGGCATACCACTCCTGGCTATAGAGGCAAATGATGACACCTTGGCCCAGAAAGAGGGATGTCCACATGATCACGTTCCAGATGGGCCCTTTCCGACGGTCATTAAGAATGAAGTTGAAGACCACTGGGAAAGAGGTGAAATGACAAGCATCGTTCAGAAAAACTAAAGATTAAAGAATAAAAGATCAAATGCTTTCACTGGATCTTTCTCTCCCTTCACTTCATCTCGTGAGCAACAAGGCTGCTCCACGAGGTCAGTATAGTTACAAGAAAATTTCCTCTTCCTTGGCGGTAGAGCAAATACCTTGAGCTGATTCTGACATTTACTTCCAGTAAGTTTGCCAACAAGCTGACCAAGCTGTAAGCCTCTGGGGATCAATACTGTTTGTGCTACACTGGTGACCAAGACATGCTGGCAGAGGTGGCCTAGAGTTTATTAGAGCCCTAGCTCAAAACTCAAAACAGAATTCAAGAGATTTAACATTTAAATGAGCTCAACTTCCTCACTGCAAGAAGTAATACTTCTCTTACACTCTGACTTTAAAAACTTCCAGCCTGCTGACATGCAGCAATTCAACTAAGGCTTGGCAAAGAGGACGCAGTGCTATTAAAATATGTACAGTGTCACATGAACAGCTATTTCTCTCTTTCTTCTTCCCCACCCATACAAGTTCCAAGCCTGCAAACCTACTAGCAAGGTACTAGTAGTTGCACAATTGCAACTCTTGGACAAGAAACAGCCATGTGTTAGTGCCTAAAGGATAACTGGCATCAGAGGAGCAAAGCATGTTTGTTAAAAAAAACCAAAACACCACAAACCCCACAACCCACTCAAATACTCTCTCCTGTGAGCTTACTTCCAAAGCACATAAACAGGCAAAACATAACCGGATAGAAGTAGCCGAAGCAGACGCTCAGAACATATTCGTGCACAGCAGCTGATACTGTGAAGACAGATAGCATAGCTGCTGCTTTGAACTTCTTCCCAAAAAACTAGAAGAGAGAAGAATACCAAGTATTATAAGCTACTCTGCTATGTTTTTAGTTTGATTGTTTCAACATTTTTATTTTTTTTTTTTTAATTTTTTATTATTTTTAACCTGAGCTAAAAAGTGCCTACTCCAGCCAGGAGGCATACATGGAATGCTAAGTGCTTTACAGAATACCTTGGATTTTAGGAGTTTTTCTTCAGGCATATTTCTGGTCTCCTGCCTAAGTACTCAGGTTGAGCCCACTCATGAAATATCCATCGTAGCTCATCAAAATAGCACAACACGAGTTCAGACTGTTGAGTCAATCCTTACACTCCTACGTCTCAGACCCACATTTTGTGCATGGTAAGGACTTCTACATGAGCAATGGACCTCCAAAAAGCACAGTGGCCACCCACAACAGCTGAGGTAGGACATTTTTGTGCCTCTCAATGGACAGCGATGCTGCATCTTGACAAATGCACTGTCTTGCTCAGTGGTTAGCTGTTTAATTACCAAAAAGGATACATCTGCTTGTTACTCACCCAAAGGAAGTCCCTGTAGGCATAGTAATAGAGCCAGTCATGTACTACTACGTTCCAGGTTCGGTAATAGTTTGCATAGGAAGTGGAGTTCCACCAGTCCTGAAAGCACAGTTGAAAGATTATAAATCTAATAAAGCATTCTACAGATCTTTTATGGGATATCAAGTTGAAAAATTCTGGTGAGAAGTAATAGCAAGCTAAGTGATTGCACTTTCAACATTCTACTCTGTATATCAAAGTTTGGTTTTAACCCAAACTGCAGTGGCCGAGATGATAAAAGAAGGAAAAGAGTGCTAACAGAGCTGTTGGGTAGGTCTGGTGGCAGGTCCTGTTTGTGCACTGGGTATACCTTAAAACCAATTCGGACTGCCAAGTAGAAATCAGGTCTGCTCTACAGCACAGCAACAAACTTAAGCCCTAATAGCATAAACCCTGTGGATGCTTTGTTTGACAAAACAATCTTCAGTTTCCTTCTCTTTCCTTTGCATTGGGAAAACGAATTTTAGAATTATAAGCAAATGATAAAGTAGACTCCTGCTTCTTACCTTGTAGAACATCCTATCTGCAAAGCGCAGCATCTCAGCAAACGCGTTAAGCCAACAGTGAAGGAACGCAAAGAAAACCAGGAAGAGAATCAGTACACCTAGAAACAAGGTAGATTCAGACTAGTTTGAGTGTTTTCTCTCAGCTATAAGCAAGAACATAATGCAGTCAAGACTGTTCTTATAGGCACTGACACAGATGAGCTCCGTGCTACCTATACAAAAGGGTAAAAGCATTTCAGTTTCTCACCACACCAGGTCATGCTCACCCCAGAGGGCAACAGCAAGGCTGCCACAGAGCCTAGAATGTGGCTTTGAAGACAGTTAAATTCAAACTCAAGCTTCTACTTCGTGCTGCTGACTCTGAAGTTTAACACCATAACGCTGCAGTCTGCCCACAAGACCTCCTTCGCTGATCTTTGCCCATCATGAATGCATCTCGTACGAAGCACTTCCCCTCCCTTCTGCCACTTCCATAGAGTCACTCACGAATCTGGGTTTTACCTGGCAGAATGGAATTGAAGATGCAGAGGACTAGCCCTCGAAGGTTGAAGGTTTCTTGACTACTGTTGCGGAACTGAGGAATGCAGAGTCTCACAAAGATGTAGTAGGCATAGAAAAGTGAACCAAGCACCTGGAACAGAAACAAAAGTCTGAGTCTGGAAGAGAAATGCACAATTAACACATCATCACTTGACAGCTCTAGGAGAGGAACAGCAGCTGCCAACACAAGCCAAAATAATTTATGTTGCTGCTAATAAACTTCTCTAAGGGTTCAGGCAGAAAGTAAGCCACAGCCATCTCTGTAGCATGTTGACAGGCAGAAGCAAATCAACTTGTCTTTTTTACTACAGCAGCTAGTTCTATCAACTCAGAAGTTACGACACGAAAGATTTATGCCAATGCCAAAGTAAGCAGGGAAACTACTCTGTGATCTAGGTCCAAGACAAGGGCAGAAGTCATTGAAAAAAATTTACTGTAGTTAAATCTAATATTAAAGCTTACTTTTCTTTTATCTCACAGGAGGTGTTTACAGGCCAAACTATCTCAACCCTTCTCTGGCTTGTGAATCCGTGTTCTGAAGTTGAGGTCAACATGCAAGCCACTATTTTAAACACACTGCTGTAAGCCTGGTGTGTGCTTTGTCACCCTCTTTTGTCAAAGAGCAAGCAGACAAAGGCCTTTTCATGCTTTGTTGTTTGCTTGTTGTTGTTTTTTCTTGTTTTGTTTTTAGAATAATGAATGCATTGTGTGACAGTAGAAGTTTTAATCATGCAAAGCCATAACTTGGAAATACATCCACAAGAAGCTAATGAAGCTCATGTCTAGAAATGTGAAGATCAGGTCAACCTTAAGCACGAATAAGCACTGAGGATTTCAACTCCAGGCCTCATTATTTCAAATTGGTCTGAACATCTGCAGACAGGTAGCTGTGCCAGTGCATTACAATACAACTTCAGTGTAAAGAAAGAGGGATAGAGCACAGGTATTGCTTCAGACACACACGCAGCTTCAGTTCATATGGAATGGAATTTCAGGGCTTGTTTACACAAGTATTTATTCTTTTTTTTCTTTTGACACAACCATTAGTGCAGAAAGAGCCTTGTTTCTTTTTTTCAGTCACTAAAAAGTATTATTTTCTGGTAAACCCACACCAAGTAGACAGCGATTTAATGCCAAAGTTTAGCAACACAGTTTAGATGATCTCTGAAAGTGCATTGTTCGGAAAGCTGCCTACTCACCTGTGCAAACTTGGTAGCTACGTAGCCCCATCTTATTGTGGGATTCCTAGGAAAAAGAACACATGATATCATATTTAGAAAGGACCTCAAAGCAGAAAAAACCTCCCTCCAGTTATTGACTTCACTGGCCTATACTCTGAAAAAAACCTGGCTTTTGAATTCCAGAATTCTTAATCTCCTGACATCCAAGAGATGTCAGCCCAAACTGCTGGTTCCTTATTACTACAGCAATTCCATAAATGGAAAAGTATCCAGAGGGAAGCATTATCCAATTATGTAGGAGGTAGTGATCTGCCCAATAGTCACGTAAAGGACTGCTGACTTGGCACTAAGTGTAACCCAGCAAAGTATAGAGAGGCTTCAGCCTACCTCCTCGAACTCAAGAGACAGGGCTGCTTATCAGCAGCACATAAAACAAGACAAGCCTACTACAGGAATCACGTGTCACTGGATATTGAGTAGCAAGCTCTTAATTTGTTTCACTTCAAGCGCATTTCCCAAAGAAATTAAACCAGAACTGTTAAGTTAAAATACTATTAGCAATAGAGTGAGTTTTCACGACCAAGTCCTGCTCCTGCCGGATTACTGACTTTAACACTGTCCTGGTTTTACTGGGATTGAATCATAGAATTCTATTTTCTATTCAGTAGAGCTGCATTTGAGAGAATTGCAGTTTTTGCTGTAGTGAAAACAGGTTGGTAAGACACCTTCTTTTAATTTTAGCTGGGACAGAGTTATTTTCCTCAGAGTAGCTAGTGAGACTTTGTTTTGGATTTGAACTGAGAGCATGTTGATAACACAGCAATGTTGTTGCCAAGCAATGTTTACACTGTCTCAAGGACTGTTTTTAAAGTTTTCCCTGTACCTGTATCCCCAGGTTTTCTGGTTTTGGGTTTGGTTTTTTTTTCCCCTCTGTACAAGAAGGTGGGAGAGGATGTAGCCAGATGACCCAGGGGTGATCCAAGCTGGCCAACAGGATGTACCTACAGCATAAATGTCACGATCACTATAAACTGGGGAGTGTGCTAAGGGCACTACTCTTCTCTGGATGGCTGCCATCTTCAGGTCTAGCTTGTTTGATTCTTGAGGTTTACCTCTCCCCCTGCCACTGACCATTGTAATTGTTCCTATTATTATCATTATTATTATTATTATTTTAGTTTGGTTTATGTTAACCACTGAATTTTCTTCCTCTACCCATAAGTTCTCGCTGATACTCTTCTGATTCCCCTACCCAACTGGGGAAGGGAGGAGTGAGTGAGTGGCTGTGTAGTGTTTAGCTGCTTGCCAGGTTAAACCATGACAACCACATCTTTATTAAAAGCTCCAACTCACAGATCAAATAGATCACATTCAAGGATGCTTAACACTGGAGTCAGTTTTTAGGCTACTTTAATATTGTATTCATGTTGCTCACATTACCTGGGGTAGTTGTCTCTGTAGATGAGGGTGGGAGCAAAGAGGAAGTACAGGTATTGAGAAATTCTGGGAATAGGTACTGTACCTGGAAGAGGGGAACATAAAAGGAAAAAAAAAGAACAGTCTGCAATCTTTCTGCTTACTGAATGCTTGGTTTGCCCAGTACCCTTTCACAACATACAAGCCTTATCACCTCAAAAATCAGTCTGCAACTAAAGGTATAGGATTTGCAGAGAATAAAACAAACTAGACTTATCAGATGGATCTGCCTCCCATGAAGCAGTTAACAAGTGAGGGTGACTAACAGGTAGTGGCGTATCAACACCTTGATATCACATTTCCTTTCCTCCTAGGGAAGATGAGGCTGTAAGGTCTTTATCAACAGGTGAGTTTACATTCAGCCCTGGCATGCCTTGCTGAAAGAGCTTCTGTGCTTCTACAATTGCTGTCATTTCAACTAGAGCACTGAACTGGGGGTATGCAGGCAGCCTCTCCACACCTTTTTCTCCTAAAATCAGAAATAAGGAGTCCTGTTGAAGCAAGACTTAAGACACAGAGATGACTCTGACCTGAACAACAGTCCATCTCATTGCCCATCACCAAATTAAAAGGTTCAGGCCGAGACTGTGATCCAGAAAGCCAGCCTAGAGCCTCATCACCTGCCCATCCAAAGTCACCTACTCAAATCCTACCTCTCCAATTCACGAGGGCAGCTCAAAGCACTGAAAGCAAATGAAGACTTGGTTATGTACTGCTGTCAAATACCATAGAGCAAGTTACTCACTGGACTTGTCCTTTACAGAGGAGAAGACTCTGGGAACATTCTCCCGGACAAAAGAATGACCCTTCATAACAAGACGAACCTGTAAGATCGAGAGAATAT